TGTTTAACTCAGTCGCTGGTGGTGGCCTCACACACACACACACACACACAAAGGAGGGCAATATGCAGGTGTTTAACTCAGTCGCTGGTGGTGGTGGCCTCACACACACACACACACACAAGGAGGCAATATGCAGGTGTTTTAACTCAGTCGCTGGTGGTGGTGGCCTCACACACACACACACACACACACAAGGAGGGCAATGTGCAGGTGTTTTAACTTAGTCGCTGGTGGTGGTGGCCTCACACACACACACACAAACACACAGGAGGGCAATGTGCAGGTATCTTAACTCAGTCGCTGGTGCTGGTGGCCTCACACACACACACACACACACACAAGGAGGGCAATGTGCAGGTGTTTTACAAGTCGCTGGTGCTAGTGGCCTCACACACACACACACACACACACAAAGGAGGGCAATATGCAGGTGTTTTAACTCAGTCGCTGGTGGTGGTGGCCTCACACACACACACACACACACACACACACACACACACAAGGGGCAATATGCAGGTGTTTTGACTCAGTCGCTGGTGGTGGTGGCCTCACACACACACACAAGGGGCAATATGCAGGTGTTTTGACTCAGTCGCTGGTGGTGGTGGCCTCACACACACACACAAGGGGGCAATATGCAGGTGTTTTGACTCAGTCGCTGGTGGTGGTGGCCTCACACACACACACACAAGGGGGGCAATATGCAGGTGTTTGACTCAGTCGCTGGTGGTGGTGGCCTCACACACACACACACACAAGGGGGGCAATATGCAGGTGTTTTGCTCAGTCGCTGGTGGTGGTGGCCTCACACACACACACACACACACAAGGGGGCAATATGCAGGTGTTTTGACTCAGTCGCTGGTGGTGGTGGCCTCACACACACACAAGGGGGGCAATATGCAGGTGTTTTGACTCAGTCGCTGGTGGTGGTGGCCTCACACACACACACACACACACACACACACACACACACACACAAGGAGGGCAATATGCAGGTGTTTGACTCAGTCGCTGGTGGTGGTGGCCTCACACACACACACACAAGGAGGGCAATATGCAGGTGTTTTGACTCAGTCACTGGTGGTGGTGGCCTCACACACACACACACACACACACACACACACACACAAGAGGGCAATATGCAGGTGTTTGACTCAGTCGCTGGTGGTGGTGGCCTCACACACACACACACACACACAAAGGGGGCAATATGCAGGTGTTTTGACTCAGTCACTGGTGGCTCACACACACACACACAAGGAGGGCAATATGCAGGTGTTTTGACTCAGTCGCTGGTGGTGGTGGCCTCACACACACACACACACACACACAAGGAGGGCAATATGCAGTGTTTTGACTCAGTCACTGGTGGTGGTGGCCTCACACTCACACACACACACACAAAGGGGGCAATATGCAGGTGTTTTGACTCAGTCACTGGTGGTGGTGGCCTCACACACACACACACAAGAGGGCAATATGCAGGTGTTTTGACTCAGTCGCTGGTGGTGGTGGCCTCACACACACACACACACACACAAGAGGGCAATATGCAGGTGTGACTCAGTCACTGGTGGTGGTGGCCTCACACACACACACACAAGGAGGGCAATATGCAGGTGTTTTGACTCAGTCGCTGGTGGTGGTGGCCTCACATATACACACAAGGAGGGCAATATGCAGGTGTTTTGACTCAGTCACTGGTGGTGGTGGCCTCACACACACACACACACACACACACACACACAAGGAGGGCAATATGCAGGTGTTTGACTCAGTCGCTGGTGGTGGTGGCCTCACACACACACACACACACACACACACACACACAAGAAGAGGGCAATATGCAGGTGTTTTGACTCAGTCGCTGGTGGTGGTGGCCTCACACACACACACACACACACACACACACAAAGAAGGGCAATATGCAGGTGTTTTGCTCAGTCGCTGGTGGTGGTGGCTCACACACACACACACACACACACACACACAAGAAGGGCAATATGCAGGTGTTTGACTCAGTCGCTGGTGGTGGTGGCCTCACACACACACACACACACACACACACAGAAGGGCAATATGCAGGTGTTTTGACTCAGTCGCTGGTGGTGGTGGCCTCACACACACACACACACACACACACACACAAGAAGAGGCAATATGCAGGTGTTTGACTCAGTCGCTGGTGGTGGTGGCCTCACACACACACACACACAAGGAGGGCAATATGCGGTGTTTTGACTCAGTCACTGGTGGTGGTGGCCTCACACACACACACACAAGGAGGGCAATAGGTGTTTTACTCAGTCACTGGTGGTGGTGGCCTCACACACACACACACAAGGAGGGCAATATGCAGGTGTTTTGACTCAGTCACTGGTGGTGGTGGCCTCATCTTCATATAAATAGGATTAAAATTGGTGTGTCTCAGACTGTGAACTTTCTTCTCAAGTGATATATCGATTAATATTGGTGGGGGTTGTATTGAGAGGTTGTGGTGAGAGGGTTTGTGGTGAGAGGGTTGTGGTGAGAGGGTTGTAGTGAGAGGTTGTAGTGAGAGGGTTGTAGTGAAGGGTTGTAGTGGAGAGGGTTGTAGTGAGAAGGTTGTAGTGAGAGGGTTGTGGTGAGGGTTGTAGTAGAGGTTGTATTGAGAGGGTTGTAGTGAGAGGGTTATGGTGAGAGGGTTGTAGTGAGAGGGGTGTAGTGAAGGGTTGTAGTGAGAGGGGTTGTAGTGAGAGGGTTGAGTGAGGAAGGTTGTAGTGAGAGGGTTGTAGTGAGAGGGTTGTAGTGAGAGGGTTGTAGTGAGAGGTTGTAGTCTGAGGGTTGTATTGAGAGGGTTGTGGTGAGAGGGTTGAGGTGAGGGAGGGTTGTAGTGAGAGGGTTGTGGTGAGAGAGGGTTGTAGTGAGAGGGTTGTAGTGAGAGGGTCGTAGTGAGAGGGTTGTAGTGAGAGGGTTGTATTGAGAGGTTGTATTGAGAGGGTTGTAGTGAGAGGGTTGTAGTGAAAGGATTGTAGTGAGAGGTTGGAGTGAAAGGGTTTGTAGTGAGAGGGTTGTATTGAGAGGGTTGTAGTGAGAGGGTTGTAGTGAGAGGGCTGTTGTGAGGAGGGTTGTAGTGAGATGGTTGTAGTGAGAGGGTTTGTAGTCTGAGGTTGTATTGGGTGGGTTGTGGTGGAGAGGGTTGTGGTGAGATGGTTGTAGTCTGAGGTTGTATTGAGAAGGTTGTGGTGGGGAGGTTGAGGTGAGAGGGTTGTATTAGTGAAGGATCAAACTGGTAAGGGAGGGTTATAAGGAAGGGTGAGAGAGGAGGAAGTTGTACTGGGGGGGAAGTTGTGGGAGAGGAGAATGTTGTATTAGGGGAAGGTAATTGTGAGGAAAGAGTGTTGTAGTAACGAAGGAAGGTTAGTAGGGGTGAGGAGAGTGTTGTAGGGGAAGGAATTGTGAGGAAAGAGTGTTGTAGTAACGAAGGAAGGTTGTGGGGTGAGGGGGGGGGGAGAGAGTGTTGTATAGGGGAAGGTAATTGTGAGGAAAGAGTGTTGTAGTAACGAAGGAAGGTTGTGGGGTGGGGGGGGGTGGGTGAGGAGAGTGTTATACTGGTGGAGGTAGAG